CTCCCCGTGGTTCTGTAAGTCAGTTAGGGTGGTGTGGAAGACCTTTTTCTCACTGTATGTTTCCTGTATGTACTGATAATAGTCTGTATGTACTGTCCGTGGTTCTGTAAGTCAGTTAGGGTGGTGTGGAAGACCTTTCTCTCACTGTATGTTTCCTGTATGTACTGATAATAGTCTGTATGTACTGTCCGTGGTTCTATAAGTCAGTTAGAGTGTCGTGGAAGACCTTTCTCTCACTGTATGTTTCCTGTATGTACTGATAATAGTCTGTATGTACTGTCCGTGGTTCTGTAAGTCAGTAAGGGTGGTGTGGAAGACCTTTCTCTCACTGTATGTTTCCTGTATGTACTGATAATAGTCTGTATGTACTGTCCGTGGTTCTGTAAGTCAGTTAGGGTGGTGTGGAAGACCTTTCTCTCACTGTATGTTTCCTGTATGTACTGATAATAGTCTGTATGTACTGTCCGTGGTTCTGTAAGTCAGTTAGAGTGGCGTGGAAGACCTTTCTCTCACTGTATGTTTCCTGTATGTACTGATAATAGTCTGTATGTACTGTCCGTGGTTCTATAAGTCAGTTAGAGTGGTGTGGAAGACTTTTCTCTCGGTGTATGTTTCCTGTATGTACTGATAATAGTCTGTATGTACTCCCCATGGTTCTGTAAGTCAGTTAGGGTGGTGTGGAAGACCTTTCTCTCGCTGTATGTTTCCTGTATGTACTGATAATAGTCTGTATGTACTGTCCGTGGTTCTGTAAGTCAGTTAGAGTGGCGTGGAAGACCTTTCTCTCACTGTATGTTTCCTGTATGTACTGATAATAGTCTGTATGTACTCCCCATGGTTCTGTAAGTCAGTTAGAGTAGCGTGGAAGACCTTTCTCTCACTGTATGTTTCCTGTATGTACTGATAATAGTCTGTATGTACTGTCCGTGGTTCTGTAAGTCTGTTAGAGTGGCGTGGAAGACCTTTCTCTCGCTGTATGTTTCCTGTATGTACTGATAATAGTCGGTATGTACTCCCCATGGTTCTGTAAGTCAGTTAGGGTGGTGTGGAAGACCTTTCTCTCGCTGTATGTTTCCTGTATGTACTGATAATAGTCTGTATGTACTCCCCATGGTTCTGTAAGTCAGTTAGGGTGGTGTGGAAGACCTTTCTCTCACTGTATGTTTCCTGTATGTACTGATAATAGTCTGTATGTACTGTCCGTGGTTCTATAAGTCAGTTAGAGTGGTGTGGAAGACCTTTCTCTCGGTGTATGTTTCCTGTATGTACTGATAATAGTCTGTATGTACTCCCCGTGGTTCTATAAGTCAGTAAGAGTGGTGTGGAAGACCTTTCTCTCACTGTATGTTTCCTGTATGTACTGATAATAGTCTGTATGTACTGTCCGTGGTTCTATAAGTCAGTTAGAGTGGTGTGGAAGACCTTTCTCTCACTGTATGTTTCCTGTATGTACTGATAATAGTCTGTATGTACTCCCCGTGGTTCTATAAGTCAGTAAGAGTGGTGTGGAAGACCTTTCTCTCACTGTATGTTTCCTGTATGTACTGATAATAGTCTGTATGTACTGTCCGTGGTTCTATAAGTCAGTTAGAGTGGTGTGGAAGACCTTTCTCTCACTGTATGTTTCCTGTATGTACTGATAATAGTCTGTATGTACTCCCCGTGGTTCTATAAGTCAGTAAGAGTGGTGTGGAAGACCTTTCTCTCACTGTATGTTTCCTGTATGTACTGATAATAGTCTGTATGTACTCCCCGTGGTTCTATAAGTCAGTAAGAGTGGTGTGGAAGACCTTTCTCTCACTGTATGTTTCCTGTATGTACTGATAATAGTCTGTATGTACTGTCCGTGGTTCTATAAGTCAGTAAGAGTGGTGTGGAAGACCTTTCTCTCACTGTATGTTTCCTGTATGTACTGATAATAGTCTGTATGTACTGTCCGTGGTTCTGTAAGTCAGTTAGAGTGGCGTGGAAGACCTTTCTCTCGCTGTATGTTTCCTGTATGTACTGATAATAGTCTGTATGTACTCCCCGTGGTTCTATAAGTCAGTAAGAGTGGTGTGGAAGACTTTTCTCTCACTGTATGTTTCCTGTATGTACTGATAATAGTCTGTATGTACTGTCCGTGGTTCTATAAGTCAGTTAGAGTGGTGTGGAAGACCTTTCTCTCGGTGTATGTTTCCTGTATGTACTGATAATAGTCTGTATGTACTCCCCGTGGTTCTATAAGTCAGTAAGAGTGGTGTGGAAGACCTTTCTCTCACTGTATGTTTCCTGTATGTACTGATAATAGTCTGTATGTACTCCCGTGGTTCTATAAGTCAGTAAGAGTGGTGTGGAAGACCTTTCTCTCACTGTATGTTTCCTGTATGTACTGATAATAGTCTGTATGTACTGTCCGTGGTTCTATAAGTCAGTAAGAGTGGTGTGGAAGACCTTTCTCTCACTGTATGTTTCCTGTATGTACTGATAATAGTCTGTATGTACTGTCCGTGGTTCTATAAGTCAGTAAGAGTGGTGTGGAAGACCTTTCTCTCACTGTATGTTTCCTGTATGTACTGATAATAGTCTGTATGTACTGTCCGTGGTTCTGTAAGTCAGTTAGAGTGGCGTGGAAGACCTTTCTCTCACTGTATGTTTCCTGTATGTACTGATAATAGTCTGTATGTACTCTCCGTGGTTCTATAAGTCAGTAAGAGTGGTGTGGAAGACCTTTCTCTCACTGTATGTTTCCTGTATGTACTGATAATAGTCTGTATGTACTGTCCGTGGTTCTATAAGTCAGTTAGAGTGGTGTGGAAGACCTTTCTCTCACTGTATGTTTCCTGTATGTACTGATAATAGTCTGTATGTACTGTCCGTGGTTCTATAAGTCAGTTAGAGTGGTGTGGAAGACCTTTCTCTCGGTGTATGTTTCCTGTATGTACTGATAATAGTCTGTATGTACTCCCCGTGGTTCTATAAGTCAGTAAGAGTGGTGTGGAAGACCTTTCTCTCACTGTATGTTTCCTGTATGTACTGATAATAGTCTGTATGTACTCCCCGTGGTTCTGTAAGTCAGTTAGGGTGGTGTGGAAGACCTTTCTCTCGCTGTATGTTTCCTGTATGTACTGATATAGTCTGTATGTACTGTCCGTGGTTCTGTAAGCCAGTTACAATTTAATCTAGTGGAGTGAGTTGGCAATTGCATTAATAAGAGAGCACTGAAGTGTGACAACTTAATATCAGCATTGACAATTTAATATCTGCATTCTGATTGGTCCTTCATGATTGGTCCAGTGACGTTAGATCACTGAACCCATATCCCAGGGTTATATATAGTGTTGTGTGCACCCGCTGACGTGGTGTTTGTACACAAGACAGGACGGTAAGTACCCCTGCCACTTTGGCCCCCTGTTTTGTCTTGATTTAATTGGGACGACGTGCTCCTGAACAACAAAGAAGACCGCCTGAACGACGAAGGGCCGATAACTCTAGTCTACAAACCAAACAAGAAGATATTTTACTAAATCATCTCAAATATATGTCATGTGACAGACAATAGGAAAATCAGACGTGGGCCGTGATAGGGTTGACAAAAATGACAACAATTAACGCTCTGTGTGGTCCAAACATAAAGATAAACATCATGCAACACACACATCAACAAAGGTACTCAATATTTTAATGTTTCATGTTAAGGTTGAGTTAACTGTTGGATATAGAATGCATCTGCCACACTGCCACACAGTACAAGCAGTGGTTATATCACGTGAGTCAGTGTGTTTGGATTAACGCTGGTTTCTCCGTATTTCAAGTATAGCTTCACGCAGGAGGAAACCCGACCTTACCCACGTCACAATCAGGGGAAACCCGGCCTTATCCACATCACAATCAGTGGAAACCCGACCTTATCCACATCACAATCAGAGGAAACCCGACCTTATCCACATCACAATCAGAGGAAACCCGACCTTATCCACGCCACAATCAGGGAAAACCCGGCCTTATCCACGTCACAATCAGGGGAAATCAAGGATTTCCACCCACGATCACAATTTCTGGCACACTGTCAGGGGCTTGTTACAATCTCAAGTACGTATTAGAATTCTCTGAAATACAATTAACATTTTGTTGAAACCCATGAGCTGGGGTATGCTGCTGACAAACAATGACACCTAAACAGGACGAACGTAGAACCCACGTCCGTAGGATACTGACCAGTGGAACACAGTCAAGGGACAGAACTCGCCGGTCTGTCTGAATAGACGCTGGAACCACCCATGTCCCTAACAGTCAAATTGGGACACGTATTATCCCACAATTATCACTTTGGACCACTTTCCATGTGGAAAACAGAAAAAGGCGGCCTTCCGAAAACAGTTTCTGTCAGCTGTGTTTGTTCTCGGCGGCAAGGTTGATGCTGTTGACGGAGACTCACCAATGTTCCGGCTCTATCGTCAACGTCGACGTGTGACGTCACACCGTCCGGGTATCCGATAAAACTAAATCACCCAACCAGACTAACTCATAGTATTCATCTCTCTTCGGAATGGGTACCCGGGGGTAACTTCTACACCGGTGCACCGCGTGGTTCGACATCGCATCAGAAGGATCGCGTATTCTCATGGTAAAGAAGACATGTAAAGATACATGAAATATTCACAGACGTTTGATCCGAACGCCCCCAAAGCAAAGGGGTTGATTGTAAGCTTGTATCAAATTTATCTCTCCATAATCCTTAAAACATGAAATCCAATTAGTTCCTTTTTCCACTGCTATAGATTATCTGGTAGAACGTAATGGCTTCCGTGCTTTTATTGCTGCAAATCTAATATACAAAGGTAATATGTTATGTACAGGTATATTTACACGAGCGTGTCCTCTACATGCACACCTGTCCTGGGATCCGGGCGTTCATCTTTGTGGCTGTCCACGCCTCCATATATTATCACCATAGTAACACCACAGGTGGAGTGTGTCAGGTGTTAGTGCCCCTAGTCCCGCCCCGCGCCAGCCTGCCTTCACCACGACCAGCGCTGTCTCTAGTTATTTTACCTGAGTATTGCTGGCTTCAACATCTCACTCGCTCAACACAGTTCATGATGATTCGCACATTGTGGATTTTAGCTGCTCTGCCCTTCGTAGGTAGGTGACTGCAAGAATCTATTATATTTACAAATAAAAAAAATCGTTTTCCGATAAAAAAATTTAACCCAGAAAAGGCCATATTTTTCATTTAGATAACGGTGTACAATTTATATATGTTTATATTTGTAAAATTTTAGGTATATCCAATATTTACGGTTTTTGTTAATGCTTCACGACAGTTTGGTTTGACCAAATTTCACAAATTGACAAAAAGACTTTGTCTCTGATGTACAATGTATAGATGTTTTTACTTATTTTTAAGGTATATCCCGAAAGTGATATTAAAACTGTCTGTTGATGCTATTCTGCTGTTTGGCTATGACCAAATTTCACAAAATGAAAAACAGGACAGATATGTTAATGTTCAAATTAAGTATATGACAAACTCGCGTCCAGTTCATGTACGTATCTGATTTACAACTATTGTTTTTAAAGATGAAACCAAATTTTGTTCACAGTTTACTTAGTTTTTTAACTGAAACCGAAAAACAAAACCAGGCTAATATTCAGCCAATTTTGAAAGCGCAGTAACAGTAAGGGGTGACCCCAACATATATTTGTACAATCACAGACATTTTATCATTTGAGAGCCTCCATGTTGTATATGAATCGTGTCCGCATATTATACCTAACTTTTCTAAATATTTGTCTACGCTATAGAAAATCAGAAATATCAAATACACGAACAATTACACTGCTTCATGTTCATCCACTCCGTGCAGTAAATGTTTTCTAGTCGATACCTGGCCTGTGGTCACGACAAGTGGGGGCAGCAGGTGCCCTGGTTAACTGCATCATAAAGAAGGAGATCTATTGTTTAATCAACTTTACTAGCTACAATAAATAGAATAAAGTATCCCTATTACGTACGTACAATGTGCATAGTTTACAACACATTGTAGGTGAAGTCGGCGGAGACCAAAGTGGGTCAGTTGTGCAGTGACGTGTCATCCACCAACATTCGAGTAAAATATCCGCAATAACCAAAACCAAACCTGATTGATTTACTGTATAAGAAACATTACACAACAGTTTCACATGTTGAGAATCGGAATCTATTAAGGGATGGACCTTAAATATTGAAATATTCTCAATAACCAGACTTCTGTATAGGGCGGTTTCAGAGGTTAAATCTTGAAAAATTCTTAATAACCAGACGTCTGTTTAGGGCGGTTTCAGAGGTTAAATCTTGAAATATTCTTAATAACCAGACATTTGTTTAGGGCGGTTTCAGAGGTTAAATCTTGAAATATTCTTAATAACCAGATTTCTGTTTACGGCGGTTTCAGAGGTTAAATCTTGAAATTTCTTAATAACCAGACGTCTGTTTAGGGCGGTTTCAGAGGTTAAATCTTGAAATATTCTTAATAACCAGACTTCTGTTTAGGGCGGTTTCAGAGGTTAAATTTTGAAATATTCTTAATAACCAGACATCTGTTTAGGGCGGTTTCAGAGGTTAAATCTTGAAATATTCTTAATAACCAGATTTCTGTTTAGGGCGGTTTCAGAGGTTAAATCTTGAAATATTCTTAATAACCAGACGTCTGTTTAGGGCGGTTTCAGAGGTTAGATCTTGAAATATTCTTAATAACCAGACGTCTGTTTAGGGCGGTTTCAGAGGTTAAATCTTGAAGTATTCTTAATAACCAGACTTCTGTTTAGGGCGGTTTCAGAGTTTAAATTTTGAAATATTCTTAATAACCAGACGTCTGTTTAGGGCGGTTTCAGAGGTTAAATCTTGAAATTTCTTAATAACCAGACGTCTGTTTAGGGCGGTTTCAGAGGTTAAATTTTGAAATATTCTTAATAACCAGACGTCTGTTTAGGGCGGTTTCAGAGGTTAGATCTTGAAATATTCTTAATAACCAGACGTCTGTTTAGGGCGGTTTCAGAGGTTAAATTTTGAAATATTCTTAATAACCAGACGTCTGTTTAGGGCGGTTTCAGAGGTTAGATCTTGAAATATTCTTAATAACCAGACGTCTGTTTAGGGCGGTTTCAGAGGTTAAATCTTGAAATATTCTTAATAACCAGACGTCTGTTTAGGGCGGTTTCAGAGGTTAAATTTTGAAATATTCTCAATAACCAGACTTCTGTTTAGGGCTGTTTCAGAGGTTAAATCTTGAAATTTCTTAATAACCAGACGTCTGTTTAGGGCGGTTTCAGAGTTAAATCTTGAAATATTCTTAATAACCAGACGTCTGTTTAGGGCGGTTTCAGAGGTTAAATCTTAAAATATTCTTAATATCCAGATTTCTGTTTAGGGCGGTTTCAGAGGTTAAATTTTGAAATACTCCCCAGAATAAGCCCTTTTAGTCTGGCTCACAGTCCCTGAACCACATCATTTTCCCTTCCGCCCAGCCCTTTTTGCAATGGTAAAGCTCTAAACGAAGCAAGTCCTAAATTTCCTCTGAATCTCACATCTCACTGGGACTCCTTTTCAATTTAAAAGGAAATCAAAACTATATATATTCAGAGACAAAGCGTTTGTCTTAAAACTTCTATGGAGAAACAGGTATGGATGGAAATCTTGAATAACTGGCAAGAAACATTTCCGATAAAGGACTGTTACTCTGCATTTGGCCTCAATACCGTATTGTTTATTGGTTGGACTGACGACTGGAATAAGATATGGGTACCGTGTCACAAAGCGTGAATCTCCAGTGCGTTAACATAGACTTGCGACTGGTGTAGTGCTAAGGCTGCATTGTACAAAGGCACCCTGGTCTCTTGATTATGTGTTGGCCTGTATGATGGGCTTGTTCTCACAGCCTTCGTTTTCATAAGGGTCTGAACTTGAACAGATCACAAAAAATAAATTACTTGCTATCTGTGGTAGGTAATACTGATCTCGGTACGGTTTGACCTTCATTTGGGGTTGTTACTCGTGTCTGTACGGTACGGTTTCACCTTCAGTGGGGTTGTTACTCGTGTCTGTACGGTTTCACCTTCAGTGGGGGTTGTTACTCGTGTCTGTACGGTACCGTTTCACCTTCAGTGGGGTTGTTACTTCGTGTCTGTACGGTACGGTTTCACCTTCAGTGGGGTTGTTACTCGTGTCTGTACGGTACCGTTTCACCTTCAGTGGGGTTTCACCTTCAGTGGGGGTTGTTACTTGTCTCGGTGCGGTTTCACCTTCAGTGGGGTTGTTACTTGTCTCGGTGCGGTTTCACCTTCAGTGGGGGTTGTTACTTGTCTCGGTGCGGTTTCACCTTCAGTGGGGTTGTTACTTGTGTATGTACGGTACCGTTTCACCTTCAGTGGGGGTTGTTACTTGTCTCGGTGCGGTTTCACCTTCCATGGGGGTTGTGGCTTGTCTCGGTACGGTTTCACCTTCAGTGGGGTTGTTACTCGTGTCTGTACGGTACGGTTTCACCTTCAGTGGGGTTGTTACTCGTGTCTGTACGGTTTCACCTTCAGTTGGGGTTGTTACTCGTGTCTGTACGGTACCGTTTCACCTTCAGTGGGGTTGTTACTCGTGTCTGTACGGTACGGTTTCACCTTCAGTGGGGTTGTTACTCGTGTCTGTACGGTTTCACCTTCAGTGGGGGTTGTTACTCGTGTCTGTACGGTACCGTTTCACCTTCAGTGGGGTTGTTACTTGTCTCGGTGCGGTTTCACCTTCAGTGGGGTTGTTACTTGTGTCTGTACGGTTTCACCTTCAGTGGGGGTTGTTACTCGTGTCTGTACGGTACCGTTTCACCTTCAGTGGGGGTTGTTACTTGTCTCGGTGCGGTTTCACCTTCAGTGGGGTTGTTACTTGTCTCGGTGCGGTTTCACCTTCAGTGGGGGTTGTTACTTGTCTCGGTGCGGTTTCACCTTCAGTGGGGTTGTTACTTGTGTATGTACGGTACCGTTTCACCTTCAGTGGGGGTTGTTACTTGTCTCGGTGCGGTTTCACCTTCCATGGGGGTTGTGGCTTGTCTCGGTACGGTTTCACCTTCAGTGGGGTTGTTACTCGTGTCTGTACGGTTTCACCTTCAGTGGGGGTTGTTACTCGTGTCTGTACGGTACGGTTTCACCTTCAGTGGGGTTGTTACTCGTGTCTGTACGGTTTCACCTTCAGTGGGGGTTGTTACTCGTGTCTGTACGGTACCGTTTCACCTTCAGTGGGGTTGTTACTCGTGTCTGTACGGTTTCACCTTCAGTGGGGTTGTTACTCGTTACGGTACGGTTTCACCTTCAGTGGGGTTGTTACTCGTGTCTGGTACGGTTTCACCTTCAGTGGGGTTGTTACTCGTGTCTGTACGTTTCACCTTCAGTGGGGTTGTTACTTGTCTCGGTACGGTTTCACCTTCAGTGGGGTTGTTACTCTTCCAGCGGGGTACGTAGTTGTTACGTAATGTATGTACGGTTTCACCTTCAGTGGGTTGTTACCGTGTCTGTACGGTACGGTTTCACCTTCAGTTTGTTACTTGTGTCACCTTCAGTGGGTCACCTTCGTGTCGTGTACGGTACCGGTTTCACCTTCAGTGGGGGTTGTTACTTGTCTCAGTAATGGGTACGGTTTCACCTTCCAGTGGGGTTGTTACTCGTGTCTGTACGGTACCGTTTCACCTTCAGTGGGGTTGTTACTTGTGTCTGTCGGTGCGGTTTCACCTTCAGTGGGGGTTGTTACTTGTCTCGGTACGGTTTCACCTTCAGTGGGGTTGTTACTCGTGTCTGTACGGTACGGTTTCACCTTCAGTGGGGTTGTTACTTGTCTCGGTGCGGTTTCACCTTCAGTGGGGTTGTTACTTGTCTCGGTACGGTTTCACCTTCAGTGGGGTTGTTACTCGTGTCTGCCGGTTTCACCTTCAGTGGGGTTGTTACTTTACGGTTTCACCTTCAGTGGGGTTGTTACTCGTGTATGTACGGTTTCATCTTCAGTGGGGTTGTTACTTGTCTCGGTACGGTTTCACCTTCAGTGGGGGTTGTTACTCGTGTCTGTACGGTACGGTTTCACCTTCAGTGGGGTTGTTACTCGTGTCTGTACGGTACGGTTTCACCTTCAGTGG